GTGCTTATGCAGTTTTACAAAGTTGCAAGAGGTCCAGGGGGCTAATGTTATAAAAGAGTATTATGATATAAAAGTCACTATTTAACAGATCACATTTTCTTTCCCTTTAGAATTATATCTCTAGAAGACAAATGGTCTCCTAACACAGGTTCATTTAAAGTGCAGCTGATCATTTCACAGCTAAAAGGAATTTTAACTAGTAAAAGAAAAAAAACCACACACACCCTATCTTGGCCCTTTGTAAAATTTATGTCAGATCTATAATGCAATAAGCCCAACACACTATCAAACATTTTCTATTTAACCTGAAAGGGGACTAAGCCAAATCACTTACATGTCTACATTTGTGATATGCAAAGTGTAGTGATTGCAGCCTCCATGAAATGTGTCAAGGTCTCACAGTTATTCACATCTATAGATAAAGCATTAAAAAAATGGAACCACTCTATTATAAGGTGATGATGAAATTGTAAGAAACACCATAAATACCCTAGAGTCTTGTAAGTTGCATTTTTAACTCAGCAGGTGGAAAAAAGCAATGAGGAAATGAATCTGTTTTCAGGTAGGCAAAATTTCAGTTGTTATGACAACAGAATGGCTTTCTAATTACTGCTTACTATAAAAATATTGCAAAATGCTCTGCAACCCCATGGAGACTATTACTGCATAATATGTGTTGCCCTAGACTCGTATAATTCTCCTGCAAACATAGCTCTGTGTGCCTTATTGGGAGGCAAACTAAGGCACAGACTTAGTTGATGATGTTGTTACCCATGAAAATCCACAGGGAGGGGAACACACACTGGGGCCTGTCAGTGGGTGGGGTGAAGGAAGGGAGAGCATCAGGATAAATAGCGAATGCATGTGGGGCTTAATACCTAGGTGATGGGTTGATAAGTATAGCAAACCACCATGGCACACGTTTAACTATGTAACAAACCTGCACATCCTGCACATGTATCCCAGAATCTAAAATAAGAATTTTTTAAAAAGCAAATGCTCACACAGGAATGTGAGTGGGGAAAGAGCTGCTTCCTTGATCCTAATCTCAAAGTGTTCAAAGAAGTTTCTTGTTAGGCATGATCTTTAAAAATTAGAGCAATGCCTCACATTACCATATTCTAAAGTAATTACTTGCAGTAAGTAAAGATAAATTCATTACTAATTATGCAGTCCTTTCTTGTGAAATCCACAGTAAAATTATTTGAGGTATTTTTTTTAAAGCTGACAAGAGAATGACTTTACTTCATCAATCAGTTTGACTAAAGTAATGATTTTCTTAGAATTAAAAACTTGTTGAAAGCTCTAAGTATTTCATCTGTAACTCTAAGAAGCATGTAGTTAATGTCACAGCTAATACATTTGTCATTCCGCTAATTTTCTTTTTCTATTAGAATAAGTAAACACCGGCCCTTTTTAAAAGCATGCTATTTACCATGTGTCAGGAGCAATGCAGGGAGAACTTATTTGAAAATCATGAGGGAAGGCATTATGAAATGAACAGGAATCATAGGAAGACAATAAGAAACACTAAAGGGAAAGTAATTTAAAAATTTCAAAGGGACAGTGGGGCACGCCTCAAGTTGAGTAGGGGTGAGTAATATTTAAAGGGGAACGATTAAAAAAAAACCATAAAATCAAACAAATACTCAAGCCAGAGATATCTGAAAATAGGAAAGAAGAGATGGCTTGAGAGAAATAGTTCAAATAAAAACAAACAAACAAAAGGCTTTTAAGTATACAATGAAAAGAAAAGAAAATGATACTTTGCCTGGTTGCCATTAGATCAGAGAGTGGTTCTTTGGCTCTTCAGACATATTTATTATTTGATGAAATTCATACAGAAACAGCCCTACTGACTCTACTTCCCTTCTGTGAAGGATATAATCCACTAATTTATGCTGCATTGCATCAGATTTTGTTTTAGGCAGCTTTGGGATTAATGTAATTAGAAGAAGATAACTACTAGCAAAAAAAAAAAAAAAAAAATAATTCCCAGCTCTTTCTTCCATCTTTAAAAGAATTGTATCCTTTTGTCATTATAGCACTCCAGAGCATGGGCTGATTTCGAAATCTTGTGTTCCAAACTAAACATCACTCTTCTTTTGGTGCTGTCAAGGAACAGTTAAGCCTCTTACCTTTCCTCATTAAAATGTGAGTGAAGAAGGCTAATGAGAAAATATATTCTTTAATGTGTAATTATTTAAGATGTTTCTTGTTTTCTTTTAATGATTTAATAGTTTTTTTGCTTTTGTTTTTGTCATTAAATAAGTTAGATATAAACTAAGAGGCACAAATGAGTTTCTAACATTTGAGAACCCAGGTTTTCTGAAGTTGAAAAGAGGAAAAGATGCATACTTACTTGCTAGACAGGCTTAAGCTGCTTAAATTCTCTGTGCCTCAGTTTCCTTGTGCATAAAATGAGGTTAAGACTAGTAGCTACCTCATAAAGTTGTTTTGAGGATCAAATGAGATGTAATAAGCCTTCAGAAGCATGCTTGTCCTATAAGTATGTGCATTAAAGATTCATTAAAGGTTATTGTTAGCAGTTGCAATTAACCTGTCACTATCATCTTGAATACTAGTTTTCTTCAAGGTCTGTTTCCTTGGTTGTGCTTGCAGTGGGGAAACAGATGCAGCCAGAAATCACAAGAATGCATACTCTTGGCACCAGAATTTCATTAAATGAATGCTCTTGCTTCAAGTTGTCTCTGTCTCATTTATCAAAGACCTCATAGTTTTGGGGCCATATAAAGTAGCAGATCCTTCCCATAATGTGTGTGTGTTTGGAGTATGTATGTATGGGAGAGTGGAGAGAGGGGCTGGGGCGATACAGACCTTCTTTAAGTCCCAATGTGGGCTTTGTTGTATGGGAAGGGCTATCTCCTGTAGAATGAAATCATGACCTGTGCTGAGCCCATGTGTCAGGGAAGACTCCATAGTGGAACGTGCATCCCAAGTGATGGGATCCTACATGCCTTCATGTTCCAGCCTACCTCCCAGAGAGGCTGTGTAGCTAAGTATCCATATTGCACATCATGCAAATGTTGAGAACATCAGAGAACATCGGAGGTGATGTGTAGAAATCAACTAATATTCCAGCAACTAGATACATTCTTAATATTGCTATACAGTAATTAATATTCATAGTTCATAGGCAATCTTATTTTTCTAGCTTTTATAGTCATTATGTGGCTTGTGTATTAATGCAACAAAATAAGTTATGGTAGGTCTGAGTAACAGAAAAGTAGTCAAATATATGAACATAATGTAGATTAGCCTAGTCTAGCTCTTGTGCTTATTAAGAGGGCCATCTCTGGTTACTTAGAACCACAGAACTTTACTATCTTATGCCTGATATGCTGAAGGTTTTAAGTACTACATGTTTATTGATCTGTATCTACTTATCTATTGACCTATCATTTATTCTACATGTTTCTTCTTTTCCTCCTTCTTCCTCCATCTCTTTTTGTCTCTGTCTCTCTTTGATAAGCTGCTTTTCTCCCTCCCCAATCCCTGACAAAAACAAAATGGGGCTCAAGTTCAGCCCTTTTGGATACTAGCTGAAGTAATAAAATCAGTACTACATTGGGAGTCTGGGACTCTCTAGTCTACTGGGAGTAGACTACTGGCTAGCCACATGCAAAAAGCTGAAGCTGGATCCTTTTCTTACACCTTATACAAAAATTAACTCCAGATGGGTTAAAGATTTAAACATAAGACCTAACACCATAAAAATCCTAGAAGAAAACTTAGGCAATACCATTCAGGACATAGGCATAGGCAAGAACTGCATGACTAAAACACGAAAAACAATGGTCACAAAAGCTAAAATTGACAAATGGGATCTAATTACAGAGCTTCTGCACAGCAAAAGAAACTATTAGAGTGAAACAGCAACCAACAGAACAGGAAAATTTTTTTGCCATCTACCTATGTAGATGGCAAAAGGGCTAGTATCCAGAATCTACAAAGAACTTAAACAAATTTACAAGAAGAAAACAACCCCATCAAAAGTGGGTGAAGGATATGAACAGACACTTTTCAAAAGAAGACATTTATGCAGCCAGCAACATATGAAAAAAAGACCATCATCTCTGGTCATTAGAGAACTGGTCATTAGAGAAATGCAAATCAAAACCACATTGAGCTAACCATCTCATGCCAGTTAGAATGGCGATCATTAAAAAATCAGGAGACAACAGATACTGGAAAGGATGTGGAGAAATAGGAACAGTTTTACACTGTTGGTGGGGATGTAAACTAGTTCAACCATTGTGGAAGACAGAGTGGCAGTTCCTCAAGGATCTAAAACTACAAATTCCATTTGAGCCAACAATCCCATTACTGGATATATACCCAAAGAGTTGTAAATCATTCTATTATAAAGACACATGCACATGTATGTTCACTGCGGCACTGTTCACAATAGTAAAGACTTGGAACCAACCCAAATGCCCATCAATGATAGACTGGATAAAGAAAGTGTGACACATATACACTATGGAATACTACGCAGCCATAAAAAAGGATGAGTTCATGTCCTTTGCAGGGACATGGATAAAGCTGGAAACCATCCTTTTCAGCAAACTGACACAAGAACAGAAAACCAAACACAGCATGTTCTTACTCATAAGTGGGAGCTGAACAATGAGAACACATGGAAAGGGGGATGCGAACATCACACACCATAGACTGTCGGCAGGTCGGGGGCTAGGAGAGGGGTAGCAGGGGGTGGGGTTATTTGGGAGGGATAGCATTAGGAGAAATACCTAGATGACCGAGTGATAGGTGCAGCAAACCACCATGGCACGTGTAAACTTATGTAACAAACCTGCACATTCTGCACATGTACCCCAGAATTTAAAGTATAATAATTTTTAAAAAGATAATTTTTAAAAAGAAGGCCTATGACATATAGGCCTTCTCAAGCACCCTCATGCACTTAAGAAGAGGCACCAATAATAAGAATTTTGAAGATGAACAATCAAGTACCTTACCTGGCTGAGACAAAAGTGGTGTGTAAGGGACTTTCGGTTCTATTGCACTCATTGGTGGAGGTAGCAAAGGATTGGCAAAGCTGCGGAGTGGATGAGTTGGTCGAACACAAGCCGTGGGGATGGTTCTGCTTGGTGCCTCCTCACTGCTGGAATGCTCAGGCTGAGATGGGGGCAGCATGGGTGGTTGTTGGGTGGTTGGTCCTTCACTCACTGCTGCAGTGGAGGAAAGAAAAGTCATTCATTATTCCTGGACAAAGTCTGTTTTCCCTAAGTCACTGGGAGGGTCTCTGGATCCATTCAGAGAGATATGATAGGATGTGGTGAGCCTCTTCTCCAAATTATGAATATTTATTATTCTTTTACCTTCATATTCTTATGGAACATGATAGCACTTCCCCTTTAAACGTAGAAATAGATCCAGCAGGACAGAAATTTATCTTGGAGGAAGGGTAGTAAAATAAATTCAGCACTGACTATATTGCCTGAACTGTCTGGTCCCTCTAATCATAAGTGAAGCGAGAAAAAAGTTATTTCTCCTTTCATAAGTAGCAAGTCAGTGAAATTCAATGTACCAAACCCTGCTATAGCTGCATTATTATCTACCAGCCAATATGCCAATTTTTCTGTGATTTAAACATGCCATGTCAACTGTCAAACAAATCAGAGTTACAGGATGCTCAGAGGCATTGCTAATAAAACGTTACAAATAATAATCACTATCATTATCTTCCATAACAAAATAGAGGCACATCTAGCTAAAAAAGCTACATGAGAGATGGCTCTGCCAGAACAAGTTGCCTGAATGCAGAATTGCAATTTTTCCTCTTTGGTAGTAAACCTTGTAATTTTCAGGCAGATTACAGTAGTTGAAGAGGTTCTGCACAGTTAACTGTGAGAGCCTATGGGCATATGGAAAGCTTTGTATATGGAAATACACCTCCCCCCCCCCATAGAACACAGTTAAGATGGAATAAAATATTTTCAAGAAAATTTCTCTTGTTAATGACACAGTAATTGAACTTGAACTGTTCATTCATATTCAAAGTCAACAGGTCCAGGTTAAACTGCAAGTGAAACGAGCTGCATAGTTAGGTGTAACTGTTAATAAAATATTTCTGATGACTTATTTCTCAAAGTTTTGTCAGGTAAATTGAAGCAAAATGTGACTGAAGATAATATCTTGCTTTTGAAAGAGAATTTTTAACTAGGAAATATTTCAAGACAATTAGTGAGATAATTTTGAGACAAGTCTCCCGGAGGCTCAATAAGGTCAGCAAAGGGCAGAGGAAATAGAAAGAAAATCTGATAATGCTGAAGGGAATAGAGATACAAAAGATCAAGACATAATATTAAAGTTATGCAGAAGTGAAATGTGTTTTCAGAGGGTATCTATACTCATTCCTCTATATTCAGAAGGGGTTAGAGGTCTTCTGGGTCATTGAGCAGCCTCTGGGCTTTTCCCATTCAGAGATGAAGGTGGAAAGATATAAGGTTGGCTGAGCACAGGATGTAGCCATATAGCAATCAGAGCCAAAATACAGGCAGAAACTTGATAAAAGATATCTTCAAATAAAAAAAATGTAAACAAGGCAGCAAACGAGAGAATCGCAAGGAGTTTGAAGAGAAGTACCTTAGACTATAAAGGGGAGAGGAACATATGTGCTTGTATTCAAGCAGTATTGTGTAATGAGATTTTTGAGAGTGTGATTCTAGAGACAATGAAAATTACTCAGGTTTGACTTTGGACTCATTTAATATAAAGAAGAATATGACCAATGGTCAAATGTTTGATCAAAGGCTTGATTATTTAGCCAATAACCAACTTTGGGCATCTTTGTGTCACTGGCTTGTGAGAGATGCCATCAAGTTCCATCCCCACTCTGTTCCTGTGAGAAAGTTTCCTTTAATGTGGGCCTTTTTGCTAGCAATTCCTTCCAGCCACAGGTCTCAGAGGACCCTTATGAAACATTAGATTATAGGCATTGCTTAGGAGGGAAAAGGAGGCTCTTTCAGAGAGGGTTCTCAAGATAATCCTTGGGTTGGAGAAAATTATTCATCACAAAGGGTTTGTAATCTCACAGGAGAAATTCTGGGGAAGTGAAAATGCTTCAGCTTCCACTATACTGGTCTCTCTTTTCCTTTGTGAATTACGTGTCTCACAAATGAGGTTCCTGTGGATGTTTCTCTATGTTCCCCTTTCATCTGCAATGGGCCAGCTTTTATTAAACGGTCTATAAATGGCAAAGTAAAAATATCCATAGAGGGAAGTAAATTTCACAATTTTCCTTAAAAATCTGCCTTAAATAATTCTCACTATTGAAGACAGATTGTAATTAACCCACATTATATTTTTAACAGTGCTTTAACCAGTGACAATAATATGTTTGTTTTACTTCCTTCTGTCTTTTCAATTTTTACTTTTCTACTTTTGAATTTTTGAAATGAATGAAATATACATTAAAATATTATTGTGAACATAAGTTAATAGAATGTACATGCATTTTTTAGTCTTTTGAAATTCGGTGTCTTATTTTGAAAAATTTCCTATTTTACACGAATTTTGATTATGTCATTGAGTATTCTTTATCCCAATCCTACTCTTTAATGCTATTGCTCCTCATCAGAAACTCTAAAAACAACAGCTGTCTGCATGCCCAGTCCTCTGCCCCCAGTTTTCAGCTGGCATCCATGATCCTGGCTGCAAACATCATGATGTGGCTCTTGACTTTGAGGGAATTGAAAATGGCTCTACACGGATGGGCCTCCTCTTTAGCAAAATCCATTCTTAGTACCACACAGGGAGAAAAGAAAAATGCCTAATGTACTAGGCAGGAGTGAGAGGGCCCTTCCTCAAGATGGAATATATCACTAATCCCTAAGGGACAGATTCTGTTGTCTTCAAAATGAATATACTGAACAGGTATAGGATTTCCATATATAATTCATATTTCTTATATTTTAAGTAGAGTAAAATAAATGCTTTTTGGAACCGGCTAACATTTAAAGCAGCAAAAACCCATTAACAAACACAGTAGCAACTGCTCCACTAGTGAAATATTCTCATTTCAGGTTAGCACATTTGTCCAGTTCAGGCACTGGCTTCAGGACACCAATGTGAAACAAGCTGGCTTAGTGACATGGCATTTAGCTGTGCCAAGAGCTCTGAAAGAGAAGAAACTTGCTTTTGCCCATGACATGCCTCTGCTCTGCAACTCAGAGTGTAGAGTGAAAATCAAATACATGCTAGCAAGGCACTTGTTTTCACATGATGAAACAGTCTGAGTTCATTGTGCAGATAGCGTACAATTACACAGCAGAGTCAAATCTCAAGGCACTTTATAACAATTGATGTCAATACACATAAATAATTGCTACAGAATAACTGGCAAAAATATTGCGGAAATGGAAATGAGATTTTTCTTCTATCTAAAAACTACAATACGTGATAGAAATATAGCAAGCCAATAACTCTAAGTAAAGACTTTGAGACATGAACACCTCAAGGAACCCAATTCATTCATTAATCTCAGAAGAACGAAATGATGCAGTATTTTTGCATAGCCCCAGTTTCTTACAGCCTGGATATTTTAAAAGACCCTAGAGAATAATCCATGAATTCCATTGCACTCCTGATTTTATCTAGGTCAAGTTTCACTTATTAGTTGATTTCTAGTTTGAGGGACAACAGGGGCAGAAAGATAGCATGGATAAAGTTGACCAGCCTTCCCATTAGTTAAGACAATGTCAGAACTATAAGGAAGAGTAGAAATCTCTTAAAATTCTCTCCCAACCCCTACTTGTTTCAAAGATGAGAAAGTGGGGGCACAAATTTTATACTTAATTGTAGAAATGAGGCCCCAAGTCTACCTACTGGTTGAAGTTTTCAAATATAATGCAGCTCAACTGTTGCCTAGGGATAGCTCATTTGCTTATTGAGGCTAACAGTGGTACTGCAGTTACTTATTAAGAAGAGGAGGCTGGATGGGATGCCTCACTCCTGTAATCCCAACATGCTGGGAGGCCGAGACAGGCAGATCACCTGAGTTCAGGAGTTTGGGACCAGCCTGGTCAATGTGGTGAAATCCCATCTCTACTAAACAGACAAAAAAATTAGCCAGATGTGGTGGTGCATGCATATAATCCCAGCTCCTCGGGAGGCTGAGACTGGAGAATTTCTTGAACCTCAGAGGTGGAGGTTACAGTGAGCCAAGAATGTGTCACTGCACTCCAGCCTGGATGGCTGAGTGAGACTTCATCTCAAGAAAAGAAAGAAGAGGAAATATTTGTTCATCGCAACTATGCAAATATTTACTAATAGGTCAGCGAATACATGTAATGCAAATGAATACATGTAATGCACATCTTTTCTTTCCTTATGGTGGGAGAGAAATTCAGCTTTATTTGTGCCTTCAGAAGGCAGCAGATCTTTGGGATAGGACTTTAGTGATTCATTTCTTATAAAACTCAAAGGTCTTTCAGATAACTTTGGAGGAAAAAGAGTTTCCACCTTGGCAAAGTCAACTTTTTCTTTTTTTTACGTGTACCTTTCTCTGTTTCCCAAGCTACTAATAAGATATCTCCACCCAGAGTCATGAAATGTTCTCTGCTTGAGAGAGAACAGGAATGTTTAGTGTTCTCTAAGGCATTTAGAAACTAATACGGAATGGCGGGAAGCAAGACATTAACTATTTCTGACAGTGATTTAGAGAATAGTTAGTTTCCTAGAAGGGAGGGTGAGTGTTATTTATTTATTTTTCTTTTAAGCAATTACTTGGAACACGTATTAGATCTTAGTCCCTTTGCATTGCACATAGCTTTGTTCAAAAGATTCTTGATGAATGACTGAAAATATATTTTAAAAATCTGTAAAATTTTGGCCAGAAGTAGAACATCCATTGTCTTTTGATTTTAGAAGAATTAAAAAAATTATTAAGCATTTTGTCATATAATTACTTTTATTTAATAATCCTTTTAAAATTAAAAGAAACCTAGGGACTAAATATATTACTCAATCTCTCTCTCTCTTTCTTTCTTCTTTTTATTTGTTTTTTTTCTTGAGAGAGACAAAGTCTCTTTTCCCCCGGCTGGAGTACGATGGCCTGGTCTTCACTCACTGCAACCTCTGCCTCCTGGGTTCAAGTGATCCTCCTGCCTCAGCCTCCCGAGTAACTGGAACTACAGGCATGTGCCATCATATCCAGTTAATTTTTTTTTGTATTTTTAGTAGAGATGGAGTTTCATCCTGTTGGCCAGAATGGTCTCAATCTCTTGACCTAGTGATCCACCTGCCTTGGTCTCCCAAAGTGCTGGGATTACAGGCGTGAGCCACCAAGCCCAGCCCAATCAATTAATTTCTAAGAAATTTTATTTTTAGAGGAATTTGAGGTTCACAGGACAATTGAGCAGAAGGTACAGAGATTTCCCCATGCCTCCTATCTCACATACACACAGCCTACTAACCGTCAAAATCAGAAGTCACACATGAGACTTCTAACCACAGATATAAACAAATTTTATACTAGCTGATTTCCTTTAGTCATTTTCATTAAGCTTTAACTTTTGGAGTCATTTTCCCATGATCCAATAAGAGACAGTCTCACATGCTGCACCAATTTAAGAGAAAAAAGGAAAGAGTAAATAGATGTTGGACCTCAATGAATACATTTTCAAAAGAAAACTATGCCTTTAAAAAAGGAAAAGAAATGAGTGGCACAACATGAATAAAAATACTGAATTGCTAATTTTAAAAGTCCTGATTTTTGGCATGTACCAGTCATGATGGAGAGACCTAGTAATACACATTTTTTTTTTTTTTTTAAATTTGAAATGGAGTCTAGCTCTGTCACCCAGGCTACAGCGCAGTAGCACATTCTCAGCTCACTGCGACCTCTGCCTCCTAGACTCAAGAGATTCTCATGCCTTACCCTCCCTAGTAGCTGGGACGATAGGCATGTGCCACCACACCAAACTAATTTAGTAGAGACAGAGTTTCACCATATTGGCAAGGCTGGTCTCCAAATCCTGACCTCAAGTGATCTGCCCACCTCTGCCTTTGAAAGTCTACACATTCTTTTAATGTTTCCGTTTAAAGTCAGAGCATATACAATAAATCAAAAGAATGTAGTAGGCAGCAAACCAATGAGGGGAATACTAAATTAAAAGTAAAAACTTGTCTTTTTTGTTGCAGAGAGCTTCATTTTAGAAGTGAAGAAGGCACTTATGGGCTCTAAATTCTTTGATTGGAATTGCATTTCCAGTTGTCTCGGGATTTGAAAATTTTTTGGTTGTTAGACTTTCCATATCTTTCCCATTTAATTCCCTTCAGTGTGGTTTGGGCACCTATTTTTCCTTGAGTTTTTGCACACAACTCTATTCTGTAGATATTATGTGCAGTGAGAAAGGAGAAAATAAATCCAATTCTCCCTTGGCAGATCTTTGATGGCTTTTAATTCTAACCTTGCTATATCTAGACGATTTATGATTTCTTAGAGCTGTCCCTGTTTGGTTGGAAAAATATACCTTACCTCAAAATATATTTTATTGTTGTTACTATCATATCTATTACAAAACATCCTATCTCACATGAGATGCTGAGTCACCTGTTCTTAACTAAGAGATGAAAGCCATAAAATAGATTTTAAAATGCTGTGCTCAAAAAAAAAAAAAGTCAAATGGCACAGCAGAAATCACCAGGGTGTATATAATAGCTTGGGAGTCTCTTTCCATTTCTACCTTCCTTCAAATAAATGAAATACTACTCTGGAAATCCTTTTTTTTTTTTTCTGAGAATTAATTTTTAAAGCCAAAAAAAATATTACTTAACTGATTAAAGAAATCTAAAGCATTCATCTAAGTATTGTTTCATCAGCAGTGAGACATAACCAACACATACCAAATATGATGGGAGATATTACTTGATTATTAGTTTCCTATTTAATAGGACATATTAATTTCAAGCACCCATCACATCAATGTTTGATGGAACCACTTGATCCTTGTGTTCCCACCACTTCCCCCCATATTGTTAGTGGAGTGTGCTGTGGAAAGGGGCCCAGGGAACCAGTATAAATGCACATGAGCTAGGATCCAAAGCACTTGTGTTAGAAAGGAAAATTCTAGTACCACAGTCATAGGGAAATCAATCTTCCCAGAGCTAAGAAGATCAGAATGCTACTCATTTTACAAGACGCCTTTGCTATTACTCATTCATTCTTATTTAAAAAATAAAAAGGAAAATGCATTACACTGACTTCTTCCTGCTCCAAAACCTCGGTCCACTGACAGTGTTGGGAATGGCACAGGCCGGAGAGTGAACTGCGGGTGGGGATATCCACAGGTGGGAGACGGGAGGATTCCTGGGTACTGGGCACTTTCTAGGGTCGGCACAGGGATGGCACTCACAACAGCTGCAAAAGAAAAAGGTTAATGAGTTATTTGAATCTTATGTATGCATGCAACATGCAAAAAAAATGGTGGAATTTTCAGATCCTCAAATCCATACATAACCTTCATGGTATCACATAGATTCCCATGCTTACCTCTCTCCACCAATCCCACTTTTTACTTTAGAAAACACAGCTCACTCCTCAAGCATCTTACTATGAGATATTATTCTGCAGTTTAAAACATTCTAAGTCTCCAAACAAAGAAACAGTTAATCAAGTTACCATAAATCCACCTTAACATTTTATTTTGATCATTTTGTTTGTTGTTTGTCTTGGCCTTATTCTTTCTTCTAAGGATGAACTATGGCATTATAAAGGTTAGGTTGTTCACAATCAAGTATATTGTGTAGAGTGGGCCGAAAAAGTGTTGGGAATTTTCCATTAATTCTATAAAACAATGTATTGCTCTTGAGAGACAGTTCAGAGACACAGAGAGAGAGAGAGAGAAGCAAAGTGTTTTCTCAATAGTCATACTTAGGATTTATCTTTAAATAGAAAATATCTTCAAATACCCAAATCAGAGCAGGTGAGTGACATATTAAGTATAACTGAATGTTTTTCAGGAATACCAACATTTTAAAGTTATTTTTAGGACCTCAGGTAGTTGCAAGTTGAAAGGTTATTAAAAATAACTTAGGAAGATAGATTATAGTGTGATTTTTGGCATGTAATTTGGAAGAAGTTCAAATTATTGAGTGATTGCTATGAAGATCTCATTACAGTACTCATTCATATATATAAACACTATATACATATATACTATATATATATATATATATATATATATATATATGCAAACATATGCAAAGGTTTCACAGTGTATCAATAAGAAGCACACTGGAACAGAATTAATGCAATAAGCAACATTCAGACATGGATAATATGCAATTAATACACAAAAAGCCCCATTCATATCATTAAGTGATAACAGGCCAATAAAATTTTACTTTATATGCAATTGTCAGAAACACTAATTGTAATGTTAACAAAATCCACAGGAAAGAAAATTAACAATTAAAGACTCATAGTCACCGAATTAAAAACATAAAATTTTGGTTTATATAAATTTTATGCTGCAAAAACATAGATAATCAATAAAAGACCCACAAACATAAAAATAGATCATGTCTGTATGTTAATCTATAGGGGAAAATTGTAGATTCTAGTTCAAGGATAAAAATAAGTGATGTTAACTTTTATTTGTTAACAAGCCACCCCCTTACATATTTTGTAAAGGGGTGATGTTTGTATCAAACCACTATGGTATTTTTATGCTTTTAGATTAGTTTAAAATTCCAGAAAAATTCCATCTTTCACAGGTATGTTATATGTAACAAAATATTTTTGCATCAAATTTTAAATGTATGAGGAGGTACATTGTTTTTCTAAATTTAGAGAAAAGTGAATGAACATTTGAGAATAAGTGGTACAAAGCACAATGCCTCAATAAAAATACTTTATAAAAAGCACATTATGTATATACAAACACATAAAGAGGCTCCAGAAAAAGGGAAATTTAAAAAATGACAAGGAAACTTTTTATAAGAATCAAAGATTCAAACCAGATATCAGCCAAAATCTTACAAATTCTTTAAAGAAAGAAGTTATAATTTTGTTGTCTCTGTGTCTTTCCTAGTACAGTGCTAGAGATACTTCATATTTTTCAAGTGAGTAAATACGAAGGATTTTCTAGGAGTATTATTTAGAAATGTGTCATTTTAACACACTGGAGACTTTTAGAGTGGCTTGATGGATGATTTAGTCTACTGTGGTATATAGTTACTATAACTACAATAATAATGTACTTGAACATATTTGTAAATACAAGCCATATAAGATCTATTTTTAAACAACTCAAATTTTCAGACTCTGAGACAGTCAGCTGAATTATTTCAACTGTCTTACTGATCAAATAGATCACTGCAGTCATTAAGGTGGATTGCTAGGTTGCAAAGCATTCCCTGTATTCATAATTTTCACTCATAAATAAATGTGACAGTGGTAGTCTCCCTTAAATATAGAAGATACTAATTCTACAAATTGTGCATACTATATTTTCTTATCAAAATGATTATACTACAAGCAAAATAATTATTAACAAATGTTTAATATAATATGTTTAGAAAAGGAGTTTCATAAGTATGTTCTGATTAGGAGCCAAACAAATTTGGACAGGGAAACATAAAACAATTTTGCAAGCCATCTAGTCTTATAGTTAGAGCACTGAAAACACTCAAGAGACTAAATTTATACTGCAGTTCCAAGTCTTTCATTACTGAAGAAAGAAATTTTACTTTCTAATAGTTTTACATGTTTGCTACTGGCCTGATAACAAAGGGTTTACAAATAAAAGTTCTTTCAAAAATAATAAATCTGTCATATGTTTCTACATCTCAAAAATGCTGATTATTTCCTGACATGAAATAGAATAGTCAGCATCCCAAAGCTTTGATCTTGGAGTATGTCATTCTATGATTCATTTCTGAAAAGGCACAGAAGTCTACATTTACTTACAATAAAAAATAATCATTCTTAAAGTAAGTTGAATAAAATACCAGATATTAAGCTATATTTTGGTATTTTTCCCCTCGATGTCAGTTTTGAAAGTCAGAAATACACACACACATACACACACACACACACACACACACACACACACACACACACAAATGCTTCAACTCAAAGCATTCACTCCACTGCTATGTTTATGTAAAATAGCTCAGTAAGTGATATTATCAAGCATTTTCAATAAATCTCTGCTCTGCGGCAAAAATGACAAGAAATCTGTTCTGACACAGCTTTCTGACAATTGAATTTATCTCTGACACTGATGCACAAAGAGTTTTCAAGTAGAAATTCCCTCACCAAATTACTTAGCTTCATGAACAAAGCACATTGGTATTTGAAAACTTCCATATTTCTGTGGGATTGGGGGTGATGTCCCTTTATCATTTTTTATTGCATCTATTTGATTCTTCTCTCTTTTCTTTTTTATTAGTCTGGCTAGAGGTCTATCTATTTTGTTGATCTTTTTAAAAAACCAGCTCCAGGATTTGTTGATTTTTTGAACGGTTTTTTTGTGTCTCTATCTCCTTCAGTTCGGCTCTGGTCTTAGCTATTTCTTTTCTTCTGCTAGTTTTTGAGATTTTTGATCTTGTTCCTCTAACTCTTTCAATTTTGATGATAGGGTGTCGATTTTAGACCTTTCCTTGTTCCTCATGTGGGCATTTATTGCTATGAATTTCCCTCTAGACGCTGCTTTAAATGTGTCTCAGAGATTCTGATATGTTGCATCTTCATTCTCATTTGAAGAACATCTTTATTTCTGCCATCATTTAATTGTTTATTCAGTCAACATTCAGGAGCCAGTTGTTCATTTCCCGTGAAGCTGTGTGGTTTTGAGTTAGTTTCTTAATCCTGAGCTCTACTTTGATTGCACTGTGGTCTGAGAGACTGTTTGTTATGATTTCTGTTCTTTTGCATTTGCTGAGGAGTGATTTACTTCCAATTATGTGGTTGATTTTAGAGTAAGTGTGATGTGGTGCTGAGAAGAATGTATATTCTGTAGATTTGGGGTTGAGAGTTCTGTAAATGTCTGTTAAGTTTACTTGGTCCAGATCTGCACTCAAGTTCTGGATTTCCTTGTTGATTTTCTGTCTCATTGATCTGTCTCATATTGACAGTGGAGTGTTAAAGTCTCCCACTATTATTCTGCAGGAGTCTAAGTCTCTTTGTAGGTTGTTAAGGACTTGCTTTACGTATCTGGGTGCTCCTGTATTGGGTGAACATATATTTAGAATAGTTAGCTCTTGTTGTTGCATTGATCCTTTTACTTTATGTAATGCCCTTCTTTGTCTCTTTTGATCTTTGTTGGTTTAAAGTCCATTTTATCAGAGCCTAGGATTGCAACCCCTGATTTTTTTTTCTCTCCATTTGCTTGGAAAGTCTTCTTCCATCCCTTTATTTTATTTTGAGTCTGTGTGTCTTTGGCCATGACATGGGTCTCCTGAATACTGTACACTGATAATTCTTGGCTTTTTATCCAATTTGCTAGTCTGTGTCTTTTGATTGGGGCATTCAGTCCATTTACATTTAATGTTAATATTATTTTGTGTGAATTTGATCCTGCCATTTTATTACTGGTTGGTTGTTTTGCCCTTTGGTTGGTGTAATTTCTACATTGCATCATTGGTATTTACCATTTGGTTCTTTTTTGCAGTGGCTGGTACTGGTTTTTCCTTTCTGTGTTTAGTGCTTCCTTCAGGAACTCTTGTAGGGCAGGTCTGGTAGTGACAAAATCTCTCAGCAATTGTTTGTCTGTAAAGGATTTTATTTCTCCATTACCTATGAAGCTTAGTTTGGCTGGATATGAAATTCTGGGTTGAAAGTTCTTTTCTTTAAGGATGTTGAATATTGGCCTCCACTCTATTCTGGCTTGCAGAGTTTCTGCTGAGAGATCTGCTGTGAGTCTGGTGTGCTTCCCATTGTTGTTGACCCGACCTTTCTCTCTGCTGCCCTTAGCATTTTTTTCCTTCATTTCAACCCTGGTGGATCTGACGATTATGTGCCTTGGGGTTGGTCTTCTAGAGGAGTATCATTGTGATGTTCTCTGTATTTCCGGTATTTGAATGTTGGCCTGCCTTGTTAGGTTGGTGAAGTTCTCCTGGATAATATCCTGAAGAGTGTTTTGCACCTTGGATTCATTCTTCCTGTCATCTTCTGGTACACGGAATCAAGCACAGGCCTTTTCACATAATCCCATATTTCTTGAAGGCTTTGTTCATTTCTTTTCGCTGTTTGTTCTCTTTTCTTGCCTTCTCGTTTTATTTCATTGAGTTGATCTTCAATCTCTGATGTCCTTTCTTCTGCTTGATCTGTTCAGCTACCGAAACTTGTGTATGTGTCACGAAGTTCTTGTGCTGTGGTTTTCAGTTCCATCAAGTCGTTTATGTTCTTCTCTA